AAGAAAATCTTTGTTATTGAATGAAGTTTTTTCTAAATTTAAAAAATTTGCAAAATAGTTTCCTGATACCTTTGTTCTAAGATTTTTGTACCATTTGGAGAACATTGCCGATCAAATTCTTTTATATACTAGACATTGTGCTCTTTCGAGCAAACAAAAGATCAATTTTCTACAATATTGCATTACAATGCTATATCAAAAAATGAAATTAATGTAAAACTTTTGCCCGGCCAGTTATTTTATGACATTCAAATAAAGATGAAAGATGTAAAGTTTTAATCTAAAGTCTTTTCTATCGCAGAAATTCAAGTTTAGAATTTTTAGTTTAATTCAGATTAAAAACAAAAATATTTCACATCTCAGGCTACAAAAATATGAATACGTATTGGTAGTGCCCCACATCAAAAAATGCATTTCGTTTGCATTTAAATGACTGCTTCTGAGTAATTTAAGTGCTTAGAGGCGGCTTACATTAAGTTTTCTGCGAAAATTCAAGTTTTTGTAAAGAATTAAATAATACATTTGTGTGACACTTAAGGCTAGTAAATTAATTCTGGTAATATAGACTTTTTATCACGTTCTGTCATTTATGAAAATTTACGATATCTCTATATGATCGGAAGTACGCATTTTTATTTTGACACTCCGTGATAAAAGCTCTTTCTCTTCCTTCTTCCTTTCACGTAAAAAAGTACACCTTAAACATAACAAAGTTGAAAATGGTTTTTCTTCGTTTAGAATTATTCTCGAAAACAAAAAAAAATTTAATAAGCAGTGTTCGTAATAAATGGCTATGCTATGAAAAACACATGAAGAAAAAAAAATTCAATCATATAATAAAACCTAAATCAAAGACACCTGAAATTAATTTGATAGGAAATTTTTATGTTTCTTTAATTATAAATCATTTAAATCATCATTTAGAGCATGAATGTGAATGACAAAATGATAAGTTATATTTTTAATGCTATGTTGCAAAATAAAATGAGAGTATGCTTGTATGTATAAGATGTAGATCAATCGAGCAAGTAATTTTTTACAATCTGATTTTGAAAAACAAAACTTATTGATTAGATTAGTTCTTATATACAGTGAAATTATTTATAATGAGTTTCTAAAATAGGAACAAAAAAGATGAATATCGGCTGTCACAATAAAAATACACAGGTGAGATCATTTACATATAAATATAATGAGAAAAAAATTACCTACCTATATTTGAGTTAGAAAAACAAAAAGTAACATGGTACGTAGTGACCGTTTAAGGGAATCCAACGAGTTAAGAGAAACAGTGTAAAATGAATAGAGGTCACGGTAGAGCTTTCATGGCGGACCAATAGGATTTAGAGTCTGTAAAGTATGGATTTTCATATTTTACTAAAACTGAAGCTCATTGGTCCCCTATTAGAACGTCAATGTGATCTCTGTTCATTTTACAGTATTTTCCTTAACTTGTTGGATTCCCTTAAACGGTTACCACACTAAAGTATCGTTTTCATTAGATTGATGAATGGAATTTCGGAAGATGTCGCTTTTCTTCATGGAGAAAATCTCTATAGCTTTCAACTAGATATGAATAATGTTAAATGATTCCAATTGTAAAATCTATTGACTTAGTCTATTCTTAATCATGAAATCAATTGAAAAGAAAAAAAATTATACCAATAAAAATAGATAAATACCATCTAGATTCTTAGATTATTTCATTATTTTATGAAAAAAAACAACTGTAAATAAAATATTTGAAAATAGTTCATTTCATATCGAAAAAAAAAATCTATTTTAGTATTGTCTATTATTAATATCACTTTTAACATGACTGTTGAGAAGTACAAAAAGGAGTTGTTGCTTAAAAACGTTTTTTATGACATTGCATAGAATGAAAAAAAAGCATACCAATCAATTCAGCAGTTGTCTTATTGGTTGAAATAACATATTATTGAGTAATAATAGGATGACGGATAATAATTTTAATTAAAAATAGTAAATTTAACCATGGTTTTTGCTTTTTTTGAAGTATTCTAAGCATTTACACACTTAAATATTTCCTATTCTCTTTATCTTGATTGAAGAAAGCATGACACATTCACTGGGTTTTTTCCCAGTAACTATGTCTCACTCATTGTGAGAAAGAAATAAACGCATTGTGGGCTTTTTCACATATTGTGTACTTGTATACAGATATGAGAGTAATTATGAATGACTGTTGCCGATAAACTTTATTAAAACAATAATATTTTAAATAAAAATGGATGACTGAATTTTTTTTCTCATATTTTGAAATAGTTTTAGAAATCACTTACATAATAAAAAAGAAATCTCATATTTTCTTCATTCATTTATACTTCGTTTCAGTTGCAAGGTTTAAAAGAAATTAATTTTTTTGAGTTAAACAGTCAACAGGATCATATTACCATTTTCGAAGAGATTTAATGAAGATTTTTCTATATGACGTGTCAAATTTCTTTATTTAAAAATATTAAATACAGAATATTTAGATAAGCTGACAAATGTTGTCTAAGATTAAATGAAAAGTAATATATATGTTGGAGCTGACTTTGCAATATTAAATTCAACTATTCGGCTTTAAAATGTAGAAACGTAAAATTACTATGCATTCATCAAATATAAATAATTTTCAACAGGTTTAAAATTTTCTATCTGGATTTAACTAGGCTTTGTGAGCATGGCTATTCCTGTAACCTATACCTAGTCATGCATCGAAATGAAGAGTTGTTGACAAAGATGAGGATAGTTCTCTTGTAAGAACTCCTGAAATTCCAAGAGACTTTTATTGTGAACAAGTCAGTTTGGTATCATCTAAGTGTGCGTACAACTGGATAGATCGGTCACGCTCAGAAAAAGATCAAATTTCGGTCAGTCTGAGACACAAATTTCATTTTTTCACCGAGATCGGATATTTTTTTGATGCAATTGGCCTATTCAGTTGTACAGAATGGGCAAAACTATTTTTCCAGGGGGATAACGCTATGATTTCAAATGGTATCCATAACAAATTTTATGTCAAATTAAAGCGGATCAAAAATGGAATTTATCGATGCTAAATAGTAAAGTGTATAGCAACTTTGTAGTGTCGAATCCAGGAAATTCCTAGAATTTTACACTATATTGACATTGAAAAATTACTTTCATGAGGCAGTTCAAACCAGATCTCATTTAAAATGAGGAATATCACAAACTACTCGACACATAGCCAGGAAATATTGGAACAACGATCAAAAATAAAACTGAAACAAAATGGTATCGGAGACGAAACATAATCGTTACGATGAAGAAACTTTGAAAAACATATTTCAGATGTTTTGAGAAACATGGAAACAAACATTGGGTTATTCGAAACTATTTCATGTTCGTATCCATCTCATCTTCGTGCTGTAAAAAAATCTAGTGATTATCATACTGATTATTGGTTATATTCATCAAACCTTAAGAGATAAATAGCACTTTGTGATATTCTTCATTTTAAATGGTACTTAGTTTGAATTGCCTCATGAAAGTAATTTTTCAATGTCAATATGGTGTAAAATTCCAGAAATTTCCTGAATTCGACACTACAAAGTTGCCATACACTTTACTATTCAGCATCGATAAATCCCATTTTTGACTCGCTTTAATTTGACATAAAATTTATTATGGATGTCATTTGAAATCATAGCGTTACCTCCTGGAAAAATATTTTTACCCACCTTGTACACAAATCTAGATGAGATCAAGCTGAGCTGTTTACAATAAAAGTCTCGTAGTAGCAGTAGAACTAGAGTACTAGCGTCCCTCTTATTTTGAGTGGGTAGTGGCAGGTGATAGTTCCACTACGTGTGCCGTATTATCTGGGATATAAATCACCAATCTAGTAGCTAACACCGAAACTAGAACACTCACTTCTGTCTTGTGCTGAGAATGGTAGTGCCCTAGTGAATGTACTGAGATAAGGGTACCTATGTACTGAGAAAGTCTCAGCTAGATACCCGATATGGGTACTTCGAAAAATCTCAGTAATTATACTGATGTAGGTACTGCATTGGCTACCCATAGCAGTATGTTTACTGAACAAATACTTGTGTGGATACCCGCACCTGTAATTTTACTGAAGAAAACTCCACAGGGTATCCTAGATTTGTCACGTTCTGTCTAGCAACTGTTCATTCACCGTTTTCTTTTGCACACACGGCTTCATATAAACAACTCGACAAAACATAAGAAACCAATATTTTTTTCATGCGAATTTTTTCTAGATTATTTCTCGACTATTTACTAGTCGAGAACATGTTAATCTCGATCGTAAATTGAGAGAGGACTACCTTGAAGTGGTCTGATGGAGATCCGACCAACTGAGGTCCGATCAAATTCCGAAATTTGACCTGCTTGAGTTTTCAAAATTAGAAAAATTAAATTAAATAAAATCGAAAAAAAAATGTAATAAATTGTTTTGAGAGAAACAAAAATGAAAAAAGTCAAAGGTTAGGTTCGATCATCAACATACTTCAATTTTGGTAACAGGGCACCCAAAAATCCTGTGCAATAGTATCCAGTTGAGTACTTGATCAGTATTTTCAAGTACCCGTTTACTAGACGCTTTTCAGAAGGGTACCCGCCCCAGTACCTTATACGTGCCTAAAAGTGCTTTAAGGCTTACTTCAGTACCCGAAAGTTCCTGTGACATACTGGTAGCAGGATACTTTTTCAGGTACCCTTAGCTCAGTACATTCACTAGGGTGGCGAGTACTGCTACTCTACTGGCATTGCGTATTCTTCATAACACAACGCGTGTAGCGATGGTACGACCTGCTACTACCTACCCGAAGCAAGAGAGACACTAGTAGTCTGGCTCCACCGCTATATCATAGAGAGTCGGCAGATTTTCTAGAAAAAAAAGAACTACATGATTGTCAGCAACTCCTCAATCTCAGTACATACCTACACATACTCTAGTTAAATCCACATAGAAAACTTTTCGCCAATCGAAAAATCTTTATTTTTGATTAGTTCGTAATAATTTCACGTTTCCACATTTTAAAGCCAACTAATTGATTGAAAAATGTTGAATCAACTTGTTGCCTTTTAAAGATAATCGAATTTTAAAGTCAACTGCGACATATATATATTATTTTGTTGCTTACAATTTGGTTGAAAAAAGATAAACCATTCTTCGAACATTAACACTCTTAATATGCGGGCATACTGAAAAATCCGAATTATCAAATGATATATATTTCCTTCTTCATTAAACTATGCTCATATCACAATTTAGGACTTAGAATTATTTATTATAAACAATAATTTATCAAAAAAAAATTCATTCTAAATTTATTTCATCGTCACATATTTCTATTTACTATTGTACATACGTTTAACGAGGTGTAGGTGGATGGGCGTGGATGTGAGCGAATATGAGATCTTTCTTCTACTCACACTGCACACCCAACCATATCCACGCTTAGACCCTCAATGTCATGTTTCCATTATAATCGTGAGAAACATTGAATCTGAGTGTGGGTATGAGTAAAGATGAACTAACGACTCTTGTCTGCACCACACTCACCCACACCCAAACGCTCACACATCCCATACCCACAACCTTTCTCAGTTTTTCTCATGTTCTATTCTCTTTTTTCGACTAACTTTGGCTTCTTCGCCTCTATTATTATTGATTTACAAGGATATTATATTTTAAAAATTGAAAACATAAAGTGCCTTAACAACTTTAATAACGAAGATCATATTCCTTCTTTAAAAATTATTATTTTGTACTCATTATTTAAAACAAAACCTGAAAATGATCCCACATACAACATAGAATCGGTTAATTCCAACAAAGTTCTGTTTTTTCTACAAGACTAACCTGAACATGTTTTATAAGTGAAATGAAATTCCCTTCTGTATTTATTTTTTGTGGAGAAATTCATATTACAAATGAGTCTCATTATTGGTGAAACACTTTATATTGCATGTTATCTCATATCCTACTTTTTAAAGTTTAATTTCGGATACAGTGGTTCACTTATTGCCACTTATTCTTTATTCATTCGTAGTTGTTAAAATCTATGGAAGAATAATTGATAGACTTGGAAGCGCCATTACCAACTTCATGCCATATTATACCGATGAACACTTCAATGAAAATTCCCTCAGTATATACGGCTACTGACAGTCTGTCAAATACTGCAAAATGTTTACGTCACTCAATAAACACAAATGAAATAAAGAGTATCACCCAACTATTGTTGTCATATTTCAAGTTCTTTTGTTAATCGAAAAAGACACTTGTCTTCTTTCCAGATATAGATTGACATTGAAAATCATATACACACACTTCAAAATTATAATTAGTCGATTGCCTCATATGGAAAAATCTAATCGGCTAAAATTTCCGTATCAAAAAATCTCTTTGGCTGGAAGCCCAATATTGAAAACGCCTGATTGGCTGTAATTTCGACATGAAAAATCTGATTGGTCGAAAGCCCAATATCGAAAATCACTAATTGGCTGAAATTTCAATATAGAAAAATCCTATTGGCTGGAAGTTCGATACAGAAAATTTCTTTAAGCCGATACTTTTTTAACCTTTGGCTTTGCCACAACCAAACGCATTCTAGTTTTTTTCATATGATCCTCGCTTCAGTCGAGGGAATATATATATACTTAGGGCATACCAAAAGTAGTGGCTCCCATGTGTTATTTTCGTATAGAATGTTTTAAAATAGTTTTCTTTTCTATCAACAGATAGAGTGTCTTTCACTCTATTTTTCTATGCTATTTGATCACTATTCAACTGATATCATAATAATAAAATTTTGATAAGAACTAGTTTTGTTGAAAACTCGCTGGTACCATTAGATTATAATGGATAGGACATTTTTGCATTCCATTTTATTATCACTTAATAGGTTGTATTAAAACAACAAAATATACCACAAGATGCAGCGTGAAAAGCTCTACAATTTACAAACAACAATTATAAAAAGATGCGATATAAAAAAGACGAATTCGTCTTTTAGTAAAAAAAGCATCGCGTTCTCGAAAAGTCGAAATTTGATCGCTCAGAGTTTTGTCCATTTTGAAAATAAAAAGTACCACTATAAAATACGCGGCCCTTTATGAATTGTAGAGCTTTTCATACTGCATCTTGTGGTAAATTTTGTTGTTTTAATACAACCTATTAAGTGATAATAAAATGAAATGCAAAAATGTCCCACACATTATAATCTAATGGTACCAGCGAGTTTGTAATAAACTAGTTCTTATCGAAATTTTATTATTATGATATCAGTTGAATAGTGATCAAATAACATAGAAAAATAGAGCGAAAGACACTCTATCTGGTCATAAAAAAGAAAATTTTATAAAAACATTCTATACAAAAATAAGGCATGGCAGCCACTACTTTTGGTATGCCCTAAGTATTTTCCGATTTTCCATTGATGAATTTCCAGGAAATTCCTATAATGCATCATGTGCGGCGTGCGGGAGTATGTGATTTCTCCCCTTGTCTATACCAATCCTTATCAAGTTCAATATGTGTATCATAAACAATAAATTCACATACAACTTGTAATGGTGGAGAATTATTAATTGTCAATTCTTCCACAGATTCTTTGTTCGTTTTCAATGCATTTTCTCGACCAAAATCAAATAAACGCATCGTAATCATATACTCAGGATTCTTTTGATGTATCCGTTCGTATACATTATCTGATGAGTGTAAATCATATTTGAAATATGGTCGACACATATTTACAAGACTTCTTAATTTGTCTCTTTCACATTCTTCTTCCAGTGGGATTTTATAATGAAATTCAAAATAATTTGTTTCGTCATTCCAAAATACTTTTTTTTCCATGTCAGTCTGTGGTACACCTTCATTGGATACTGATGATTTGATTTTAATACGTATGATATTAAAATCTTGAAAAGCTTGATAAGCTTCTTCTTCAATTTGTTTTACAATTGATGGATATTCACCATAATAATATGATGATACCATTAATGCTTTCAGTTTCTTCTTTTCTGAATCAGTATCTAACTGAATAAACATGAGTTTGTATTTTGTATTTTCACATGCTTTTTGAAGGATTTCAATCGCTTGTTCAGTATGATCTGTAAAATCCAATGTGATGTATACTTCGAATGATCCTTTGATAATGTTTGTTGGGACAAGTACATCCAATTTTGATTGAAGTTCATCACATTTTATATGAACGAATTCACCTGCACTAAAATCAACAAAATCGTTTGATTAGAAAAAACAAAAACTAAGTTTTCTTGTTTACCGTGCCATACTTGAATTATCTGGTGGATCACCACGTATAGCTTTCATCTCATCATAAATATATGTAATTCGTTTATAATTATATATTGATCGTGTTTGAATTAGCTGTTCAACAAAATCTAAGTATCGAAGACCATGAAATAAACTTTTTAATACAAAATCTTTTCGTAATTGACCCGTTTTAATTGTTCTTGAACTACGTATTGGATAATTTGAATAATTATTCGAATTATACATCGTCCGATATCTTTGCATTTCATAAAAAACAGCTTGTTTTAGTTTTAATGTATTGTAATATTTTTCGAGATAAATTTTTCGAAAATCAATTTCTTCTTTGATTTTAAATTCATCTGGTAGAAATACACATTGAACAACAACTAAATAATTTATTTGTAGAAGAACTTCAAAATTTTCAATTGAATATATGCACACATCATATTGATTCCATAATCTATGTAATTCAAATTGATGAAAATATTCGAAACTGTCTGTAAATTTCAGTGGACGTCGGTCAGATAAACGAGTGACAATGATAATATCTCGATCAGAGTTCGGTGTATTTGTACCATAGACCCATGAACCGTGATTGTAGATATTAGCCACACAATCTTTATTTAAATTAAGCTCTTGTAAGATCAATGAAGTTGTAGAAGGATCCATCTTAGACTATCGACTTGTAATGATTATAAATACGGTGTCGAATAGGTGTTTTTTATATAAACTACTGCAGGTATATGATGTCTTGGTGGTGCAATTCAGGCTTATAAAGGTGATGTTTCGTCAGCCACGTGGTAAAGTGTGGTGTAATGCACAGCAAGAATAGGAAGAACGGTAGATTGTCAACATTCATTAACATCATTAAAGAGATTTTCAAATCATCCTGAGACGTTGTTACTAATGTATGACTATGAAACAATTATCTCTCAGCTATTTGAATGTGTCATGTTAGAAAACATTCGTTAGTCAATCACTAAGGACATCTGTGAATAATAAATAGTCAGTTCCTTCTTCCTAATGAGTCAGTGAAAACGAGTCATATGAATTACCTGAGGTGAATGAATGATAGACAGATATATTTCACTTATTTTTATATGTGAAAGATCTTTTTATTCTTTTAATATGGTTCTGTTGAAATTAAAATCTTATTTTATAAAGTAAAAGAAAAGAAAATATGCGCATATAGTTAAAATTTATCAATATCTATTATGGCTTACTTTCCAGCCGCCATCGTTAAGAAGAACAACAACATCAATCTATCGAAGTAGAGAATGTACTACACTGCCTAATGTCATAGTGGTATTTCTTTGTAGTTGCCTTTAGTAAACAAGTTGGCAGAGATCCATAGTCACTATCAACATACCACCTGGGTGCGTGAGTGGCTGGGTGTGGGTGTGTGACTGGAGAGAAGAGACGATTACACGCACACGCACGCCCACGTCCGCACCCACACTCACACCCACACCCACACCCACACCCACACCCACACCCACACCCACACCCACCCCACCATCTGATGATAATGATACGTGTAATCCACGGGTTGAATATAGTACAAACAGTACATTTTCCAACAGCAGTTTTTCCAAGGGGAAGATAGCAGAGACTTCAGCCGTGAAGTCCATGAAATTCCACGAAGTCTCTTAAAATCTCATGAAGTCTCTTGAAGTCTTTTGAAGTCTGGAAGTCTTGAAGTCTTTGAAGTTCCATAAAGTCTCATGAAGTCTCGCGAAGTCCCATGAAGTCTCACGAAGTCTCATGAACTCTCGTGAAGTCTTATGAAGTCTTTAGAAGGGTGTGAGTGTGGGTGTCATTTCTCTCTCTACTCACACTCACACCCACACCCTCGATTACGATCAGTTTGTTTTAATCACCATCTCATATCCTACTTCTCTACATGATCACCAAGATGTTGTTCGCAGAAAGTTTTCTCCAGCTCTTGTATCTCGTCCATGAGTACGAGTGGCTTGAAAAATGTTTTAGGTCTTTACACAAAAGAAGACGTCGAAAAATATCTCATATTTCTTTTTGCTGATCTTAAACCATTGATCAAACAGTATACAGGATTCGTTGCCCCAAACGGCATCACCTTCTTGGAGCTTTCCCGATTTTTTGTAAAGAAAACAACTTCGTACAACATTAGTGGAAAAAACTTTGAATCTTGTTTTCCGATAGTTGACAACCCCATGCATTGTGAAAAACGACCATTTTTGAATCAGTCATATTAACCAAAACTCAGCAATTTGACGCCAACTTATCAAACGATAGAATAGAACTTAATAGCTTATTTTGTACAGATCCTTTTAATTATGAAAGTGATTGACAACAAAAACTATTTAGTATAGACTTGAAAGGTTAGTGGTCGACTTTTGTGCTCCTACAAACGAGAGATTTTCGCTATGAGGTAAAATTATCGATTATCTCGACATACCTCTCAACCACATTGTTAAAACTACCGCAAGAGTAATGCCACCTAATGGTAAACCAATTAAGAACCAAATTAGATAAGTTTTGCATGCTGGCGACCAAGAACTGGCAATGCAACTTCTGAAGCAAAAGAAGAACAATGGAAATCAATTGAATCCATTGCATGTAGAATACCAAAGTCAACGGAAGTTTTCTCTTCTGTTATCTGATACGGATTTGTTTTGAATATTGATATTTAATTTGTTTACTTTCGTTGCCCATGCATTATTATTCATATCGGTTGGCGATTCATATGCTAGATTCGCATATGAAACGTTTGCATTTGAGTGAGATGGTCGTACACCTTGTTTATCGTTGGAGATTGGCAATTGATCACCCAATCGATGATAAAATGACGTAGTTGATGTATTGTATCCTGAGGCATTAAAGTTGTTGTCGAAAGTACCAATTTTCTTTGCCTTATAAAGACTGATGAGGAGACTTTTACCATAGTTTTCGTTATTCTGAACAGAGAAGCGAAATCTTATATTCTCAAACATCCACACAAATGTGTTATACACTTACCATCGAGATTATACAGTTGCTTTTTGTAACAGTGTAAGCTAGGATATGAAATATAAGTTACAATTTTAATCTGATATATTCTTAAGCAGATCCTACAAGCTTTATTTAAAAACCCTTATATGACATTTTACTCTCACCACAGAACTGAAAAAAGATGTCTATTGTTCTTTATGAATAACGAAATAAAATCACATGAAAAAAACTCATTAAATTTTATAATTGAAAAAAGACCGGCTCTCTGAGGCTTCCTTTCTTATTTGCTAATTAGCATATAATCATTATTATGCAGCTCACTTTTACTATCAACCTACCAGTATTGTTTTCTTTTCAATGAC